AGCAACACTCAGCCGCACTCTCAGGGGATCTCATAAGTGTTTGCACACCTGAGGACCGGGGTGCAGTCCCTGCTGCAGGTGCCAAGTGCTCCCAGACACTGAGCATCTCCCTGCATCCAGCCTTCAACCTGCCTTCAACAGCCCCTGCCTGACCCCGTCCTGTTTTCAGTAGGTCCAAAGGTAACCTGGCTGCTCTTATTCCTGAGTTTTCCCTTTGGTCTCATCATTTTCAGGCAAATCACAAGAGAAAAATTAACGTTTGAGGAGGGTGAAATCTGTGCAGGATCTTTCTGAGCCACAGCCATGAGCAGCACAGGAGGATCCACTTCAAAGGGAGGAGCCAGTTCATTAAAAAAGTGAACTAGGGCTTTTGATATCAAGATAAACATCCTGATACACTTCAAAGCAGCTTCCACTCCTTGTCCTTAAACACCCTCTCTTGCTTCACTTAAGTTCTGGATTTTGGAATTATACTTCTGCCTAATCCATCCTGTGCTGCATCCCATCTGGATGGTTGTTTGTCAGGGGAGATTCTGAATGCTGCTTTGTGGCATGTGAGACCTTCAGGTCATGACCATGAGCCTGAATACTCTGTTATTACCTTCTGTTCCACCTATAAGGAATTAAGAGTTGCTGGTGAAAGCTCTTACATTTCCATTGAAAAACATCATGCTTTTAAAAGAAACAGCAATAGGGAAGTGCCCAAGGGCCTACTGGGGTGCCTGATTGCCCAGAGGTCTCCATTCTTCCAGGCACCCTGCCACCAGAGGCTGCAGACCCATCCCTGGCAGCAGGTTGGGCATTCAGCAACCTGGGAAAAAGCACTGGGGTGCAAACACTGACCACCTGCACAGGGAGAGGAGCGAGGAGGCAGGAACAGTGTGTGGGAGTCCCCCTGCATCCTGTTTTACCTCATGGTAAACCCCTCCTTTAGGATTTGGAGACCATGAGGAGGATTTTGCAAGGCTCAAGAGGCAGGGGGACTGTTCCTAATGCCAACACCTCGTGCTTTTGCTGTGGCTTTAGCAGGGTGGCCACTGGAGCTGGGCTGCAGGGTGAGCCATGGTCAGGGGGTCTGTGTACTCCTCACCAGGTCATCTCAGGTCTCGGGGCACTCTTTGGGGCAGGAAAGAGGAGGGGCTGATGCAGTGGGAAAGCCTCAGGACTGGGCATTCAGCTACTAGCAGGCAACTACAGACGCACTACAGACACAGTCTGAAGCTGCTCTCTGGGCAGTCATTTGGGTCACAGTCCCTGTACCCCAGGTTTGGGATGGGGCTCCAGTAAGCACAAAGCTTCACCTCCGGGTCACGGCGTGGTTGTGTTGGCTGGGAGCAGGGTACAGGGACAAAGGGGTTGCTGCCACTGTTAAGCAACAACTTTATTATTTCAGTTCTTCCAAATATTATACATAGGCTCTGGGCTGGGGCAGGCCATGCAGGAAGGAGGGGATCAGGAGAGCAGTGAAAATTTGGGTTGTTGCAGAGTGGCGTAGAACTAGGGAAAAATCCTCTCCCAGGCCTCCGCTACCCTCCGGGGCTTGCTCTGGCTGACCTGGGGGTCTCATAGCTGTTGAACTGCAGCTGTCCTGTTGCAAGCTGCTGTGGGGGATGGAGAAGAAAGGAGTTCTATACCTAGGCTGCCCAAAGCAGGACCCTTACAGTTCCTAGGCCACCAGACAGCAGCAGTGAAATCCTGCTGAGACCTGCTGCTGCTTCCACCTCTGTTTCCAGCCTGGAGAAGACCTTGGCATGCCCCAGAAGGAGCCCACCTTCCTTTCTTCAGGCTTTTCTTCTTCTTCTGGCTGTCACCCCAGCCTTGCAAGTGGCAAGACACATTGCATGTGTCTGGAGCAGGAGCGTCTCACCAGGCACAGGGCTTGTTTCAGATGGACAGCCCCAGGAAAGGCTGTGCTATCTCAGACCCTTCCACACCTGCTTCACCTTGTGCCAGCCCCAGTTAACCTTGACGAAATCTCCATCTTCACTGCATCCCAGGACTGGAGGGGAGTCGCTGAAAAGAGAGTGGGATTCAGCCTTGCCCCACTGCCTCTCTGGTACTCCCCTGAGCCCAAGCTGAGGTGGGGAGCGGGGCGGACACCCCAAACCGTAGGGCATGGTATGTTTTGTGGGCAGACAATCAAGCGGAGGGCGCAGTGCAGTCCTGCCCAGCAGCCCGCTGCACCAGGGAGGAGAGGTGAGACCTGAGAGGGTCGCGGAGGAGAGTCACACGCTGGGCACTAAGGGGCGACCCCCCCTCCGTTGCGGGGCACAGCCCGGGCCGTGGCGATGCCGCAGCCCTGGGCGGGACGGGTCGGGACCCTTGAGCCGGAGCCGCCGAGCAGGGGAATCCCCGCCCGTGACGTCACGGGGGAACCCCCCCCCCCACCGCGCCCCCTCCCGGCGCCCGATTGGTCGCGCCCGCCTCTGACCCACCGCGGGCCCTGCGATTGGCTGACGTGCCTCGGTCTGGTCCTGCCCCCTCTCCTTCCTGGCCTTCTATTGGCTGCCGAGCTGTCACTCCACCCAGGCCCCGCCCCTCATGGGCGTGCTGTAACCCTGCTGCTCCCCGGCGTGCTCACAGCGCACCTCCCACTGCAATCCACTGCACACCCTACACCTCCCACTGCACCCCCTGCACCTCCCACTGCAACCCCTGCACCCCCACTGAACCCCACTGCACCTCCCACTGCACCCCACTGCACCCCCTGCATCTCCCACTGCAACTCCTGCACCCCCACTGAACCCCACTGCACCCCCCTGCACCTCCCACTGCACCCCTGCACCTCCCACTGCACCCCACTGCACCCTGCACCTCCCACTGCACCCTGCACCTCCCACTGCACCCCACTGCACCCCCTGCATCTCCCACTGCACCCCCTGCACCCCCACTGACCCCCACTGCACCCCCTGAACACTCACTGCACCTCCCACTGCACCCCCTGCACCCCCACTGACTCCCACTGCACCCCCTGAACCCCACTGCATCCCCTGCACCCCCACTGAGCCCCCCTGCAGCTGCCACTGCACCTCCACTGCACGCCCTTTACACTCCTTCCACCCCTCACTGCATCTCTCACTGAACCCTCACAGCACGCCCCTCAGCAGTCCCTCTGCACCCCTCCCTGCACCCCTCCCTGCACCCCTCCCTGCACCCCTCCCTGCACCCGGCTCCACACTCATCTAATCCTCTGGGATCCGGGTGCCACACCCCACTGTCTCCCACCTGCACCTCTGGTGCCATCCTATGCACTCCTGACCTGCAGCCCCCAGAACACCCCCCACAGGCCCTACTGCAAAACCACCCTCCCCTGCAGCCAGCCCCCCACTGCACCCCATCCCAGAGCACCCCTCACTGCCCTTCACCTCCTGGCAGGGACAGCCTGCCCCACTGCCCCAGCACCCTGGGGCTGAGGGAATGGGGCTTGGTGTCCCAGGGCTAGAGGGAGCAGGCTGTAACCTCAAGTGGGGAGCATGGTAGAAAGGCAGGGAGCAAGCCAGGGTGACAGGGATTTCATTGGGGTGCTAGGGATGGCAGCAGGGTGATGGGGAGCTCAGTGGGACGGTGGGAAGCACAGCAGGGTAATCAGTGGAACGATGGGGAACACAGCAAGGTAAGAGGGGAGCATGGGCAACCACAAAGGTGCCCTCCCATTGCAACCTCACCAATGCAAGTGGCAGAGCTCAGGAAAGGAGATGCCATCTGTCTCCTATCTTTGTCCATCCTGACAGGTTCCAAAAGAGAGAAATCCTGGTCAGAGCTATTTGCAGGCAGCCGTGAGGCGTGGGGCAGGAGCTGCTGGCCAGCAGCCAGCCGCTTCCCGCTCCTGCTTGGGAGCACAGACGATGTTTTGTGTGCAGCGGTGGGAGCACCCTCCCACCACGGCTGGTCCCACTCCCGGCAGCCCCCACAGGCCCCGGCTCCCTGCCCGCTGCATCACGAGGCCAGGGTGCCCCCACAGCACACCGCTGTCTCTGACCCAGGGTGCACAGCTGGTGGGGGAGGAGGGACAATGAGTTTTCCCAGCACTGCTCACCCACGCTTCTCCCCTGCCACATGACGTCTGGACTGTGATATTGTTGCTGTGGCACCCACTGGCCCCCAGCCACCTCGCTGGTAGACCATGCTCCTGACCCCTCTCCATGCCTTGGCCACAGGTGGGGTGCTCCATCTGGCTGGTGTGTGCAGCTGGACGATGTGAGGTGCCCTGGCAAGCTGCTTGCCCAGCTTCCTGGCACTGGCCAGCCACTGCATGGTGTCCCTCCTCTTCTAGCAGAAGAGGTAGGCCACCTATCAGCCCTCCAGCAAGTTGCACAGCAGGAACTACTGTCCTGACATCTACCTGCCCTATATCAGCAGAGTCAACCACTTTCTCTCCCTGGATGGGGCAAGGAGATTCTGGAGTCAGCACATCACCCCACCCCCTTGGAGCATGTGCACAAACCGGTGAAGATGATGGGGGGTTGGGGCAGGAGACAGTGGCCCTCTTGCCAAGCACAACAAGCCACGGCATGTCTGCATTTACTGTCACCTGATGGTGACCCACGTACTTAAGCAGGAGGATCCCTCCTGGAGAAGGAGGGCCTCACTGCAGCACGTGGGAAGCCCGCAGCATTGGCTGGAAGTGGCGTTCGAAGGACCCAGAGAACAGGGGACTATGATTGCTGCACACACTGCCCCTGCAGCACCAGTGCCACCCAGCATCGCCCACCCCAGCCTCTTCCCTTGCAGAGGGATGCACCCTGGCAATGTGGCCTTCCTGCCCTCCAGTCCTGGAGGCCCCACTCTGCTCCACAGCCCAGCAGCATGTTCCCCAGGCAGGGGTCCCGCCTGCCCCAGGTGCTGCTGGAAGGGGCAGATAAAGCACATCTGACCCACAGTGTTTGGCCTGGGAGTTTCTGAGGCTGTAAATAGCCAAGTTCCCCTTCTGCTCATCTTGAAAGTGAGAAGGGGAACATCCCCCAGAGAGGGGGAAAGAATTGGTCAATTGTCATCGCTGGTAGAAAAGCTATTTTTAATTTTATTAAAATGTCTCTCTTCTATAAACTTTCAAAATATCTGGAACCTCTGCTATACAGATTTGTGCCATGGCTGCGTAGCAAAGCTGTTGCTCCTGGGGCCGGTAACGGTGGCACTCATGGCGAGGTGCAACTGGTGGCAGGGGACAGCTGAGGCTCCTCTTTGCAGTCTGGGGAGGTGTGGGGAGTGCCAGGGGAGCAGGGCATTCCAGGGCCACCCTCAAAAAGGGGCACATGGGGGATGTAGCGGCCCAGGGGGCCAGGGTGGGTCTGTGGCCGGAGCAGGAGCTGGTGCAGGGTCTCGCCCACCTGCACGAGGCTGTGGGAGAGGAGCTGGAGGTGGGAGACTGTGTCGCTGGCCAGGCTCTCCAGTAGTGCCTGCTGCTGCCGTGATGTCTGCAGGATCTGCACCAGCAGTTGCTGGACGTTCTGGAGCAAGCCTGCCACACCGGGCCCTGAAGTGAGAGAGAGGGGTCAGTGGCAGCAAAGCCTCACCATGGCTCTGAGAGCTCCCTGTGAGGCTTTTGGGATGCTGCAGCGAGGACCCACCATGAAGGCTTGCATCTGATGCATCTTCACCTGCTGCCGGCTGCTCGCTCATGGCAGCTGTCCCTTGGGAACCTGAGGCTGTGACAGCCACTGGCAGCATTTGGTTTCCTCTTCCCATCCCCAGGGACGTCTCACCAGGAAAATGTGCCACGACAGCTTGGCATGGAGGAAACAACCACAGTGATGGAGGCACCCAACCGCCACGTTCAGCTTGACCCCACACAGAGACCTGGGAGGGCACTGCCTCTGGAAGCCTAGGCCCTGCATTCCTGCTGGCAGGACAGGACAGAGCTGTCCCCTGGACCAAGAGAACTTGCTCAAAGCTGCAGACACTTACCAGCCTTTTCCTCTGTTCCTTCCTGCTTCAGGTCAGTGTGACAGCCTGGAACAAGAGCAGACACAGCCTGTGAGCCGCAGCCACCTCCTGCCCCAGGGTGCACAAGCAGAGTAGCCAGGATACGATACTCACCCAGGAGGGAGACAAGAGGGAAGCAGCAACTGGTGTCTGCAACGAGAACCAAGTCAGGCCCTGATTGTGGGGGGTTTACTGAGCTTTACTGGGCTGAGCAGGGCAAGGAAAGTCTTACGTGGCATGGTGGGGGTTGTGAGTGGCACTCCAGCGATGTGTTCCCCACAGGCTGCTGGGAGAAAGCAGAGAGGAGAGATACGCCATCTGACAGGACTTGCAAGGGGATCACCACCAGCCTAGGGTCTGCCTGGCTTGCCCCGGCCAGCCCCACAGCCCAACGTGCCCTAGCCACAGCTCCACAGTGCCCTGCAGGGCCCCAAAGCATTTCAGAGCTAGGTACAAAAGCAGGAGTCACTCACCCACCACTGCAATGCAGCCACCTCTGGGCTGGAAGGCAGCAGCGGCGGAGCAGCGTGCAGCAAGGCTACACAACAGACTAGGACTGGAAGTGAAGGAGAATCCCACATCCACTTGAAACTGCAGGGGGAATTTAGGGAGACAGAAGGCAGTTACCCAGTGTGGGATCCTGGCTGGGGCATCCACGCAAATCAGACTCAGGGATGTATCCTGCATCACCTCAGTGCCAAAATCCCTGGAGGGGCTGCAAGATATGTCCCTGGGTGGGCTGCAGGGCATGGGAGCTGCAGGCACCTCTGGCCCTCAGACACAGTCCTAACTCATCTGAAGACCTATGTTGTTACTGGGGAAGGGGGGAGCCAGGACCTGCCAAAGGAAGGGGAGTCACATGCCCTGCAGTGCCACACAGCCAGAAGAGACCCCTGGGCTGTACTGGGGCCACTGCCCCTTACAGACCTTGCGCCCCACAATCTGCCATGGGTGGCCAGCAGACCTGCCATGCCCTCAGGCTGGGTCAGAGCTGGAGTCCCCTTACTGCCCTGATTCCAGTCATCACCTCATGCTCTGGGACTGGTTTGACCTCTGGCTAAAGCCTCTGGAGGAGGAAGTCCCAATGCTCCCATCACCGAGCATCCCCTAAGCCCCCCATTCCCATCATGCTGGCCTGGGCTTGGGCTGGAGCTGTGGCTGTGCAGCTTGGTGAAGCAGGGCAGGTTGGTACTTACAGCTCTCTGGCTCATTCTTTGCACACTGCAGCAGCGGGGACAGCAGTGCGCCTGGGGTGTCCCTGCTAACATCGTGCTCTGCAGAAGGAGGTGAGGGGGGTGCAGAAAAGAACTTCAATAACTGGGTGATGAGGGGTGTCTGCCACCCCACAGCCACGACAAGCCCCACTCCAGCTGCCTGAGCGCACAGGTACCTGGTGGCTCTGGTGAGGATGAGGAGCGAGTGGCAAGGGCTGACCTGCGCTTCCTGGAGGGCAGCTTCACCAAGTCTAGAGGAAGAGAAAGACCATCAACATACTCTGGGTGTCCGTGCAGCATCAGTGTTCCCCAAGCAACCCACATCTAGCCACCCTTCCAAGCCCACGTGGCCGTCCCTGGCACCCACCTGGCATCCTCCGCTCGCCAAAGACGGGCCGCCCGGCCGCCTTCCAGATACTCTTCATGGCCCGGTAGTGCGGGGGCAGCCGGGGAGAGTGGTGTCCTGCCCTCCGGCGCGTCTCCCGCTCCGAGTGGAAAGCCTGCTTGAGCGCCTTCCACTTGGAGCGGCACTGGGCCACGCTGCGCCCGTAGCCGGCCGCCGCCAGCCCCCGGGAGATCTCCCGCCAAAGCGCCTCGTTGGGTCGCGACGTGGAGGCCATGAGCAGGGCGGCCTCCCCCGAGCCCCCCACCAGCGACAGGAGGCTGCTGACCTCCGCCTGCGTCCAGGCTCGCCCGCGGGGCATCCTGCCGGGGCGGCGGGGGAACGCTCGGCCCCGGGCCGGGATCAGCCCGGGGCTCGGCCGTGCGCTCCCGAGGGCGCACCGGGAGGATGCCCCGCCGGGGGCGGCACCGGGAGAGCCGTCGGGAGCCTCCCCGGGGAGCCGCACGGGGAACCGCCGGGGGCCGTACCGGGGATGGGCGCCGGGCGCCGCCGGTCCCACCCGCAGCCGCACCGATCCCCCCTGCGCCGCAGCGGGCGCCGCGCCGGGAGCTGCCGGGAGGCGCCGGGAGCCGCATCGAGCATGTGCGGCCCCGGGAGGAGCCGCTGGGAAACGTAGTCCGGATGAGCCATCCCTGCCCCAGCCGTAAGCCGGCAGCCCGGAGCGGGGGTCGTTGTCCGTCCCCGGCGGCCAGGGATGGGCATCGCGGCAGATCGGAAGGCCTGGGGGAGGAGAAGGAGCACCCCAGCCCCCCGCTTTCCAGGGCTGAGAGATGCAGTTGCAGCCCCATGCAAAAAAAAAAAGAAAGGGCAGCAGAAACCTCTTGTAAGCAAATACCCCGTGGCCTTGCTGCTTGGAGAGAGCTGCATGGGAAAGTGTCCTGCACCCCAAGGCAGACCAGACTAAGAGAACTGGAGTTGTTGAGTTTTGAGAAAGAGAAGGCTCCCGGGAAAACTTATAGCACCTTTCCAATACATAAAGAGCTACAAGAGAGCTGAAGAGGGATATTTTATAAGGATATGTAGTGATAGTACAAGGGGGAATGGCTTGAAACTGATAGAGGGCAGGTTTAGATCAGATACTAGTCATTGAATCATAGAATATCCTGAACTGGAAGGAACCCACTGGGATAATCAAATTCCAACGTGTGGCCCTGTGAAGGACACCCCAAGAGTCACACCACATGCCTGAGAGTATTGTCCAAACACGTCTTGGACTCTGTCATGCTTGGTGCTATGACCACTTCCCTGGGGAACCTGTTTCTGTGTCCAGCCAGCCTCTGGGTGAACAGCCTGTTCCTGATATCCATCTTAGACCTCTCCTGACACAGCTTTATGCCATTCCCTCAGGTCCTGTCCCTGGTCATCAGAGAGGAGAGATCAGTGCCTGCCCCTCTGCTGCCCCTCGTGAGGAAGCTGTAGACTGGTCTCCCCTTAGTCTCCACCAGGCTGAACAAACCAAGAGACCTCAGCTGCTCTTTGTATGGCTTTCCCTCTTTTAGGAAGAAATTCTTCACTGTGAGGGTGGTGAGACATTGGCACAGGTTGCCCAGAGAAGCTGTGAATGCCCTATCCCTGGAAATGTTCAAGGCCAGGCTGGATGGGGCTCTAAGCAACCTGGTCTACTGGAAGATTTCTCTGCCCATAGCAGGGAAGGTTGGAACAAGATGATCTTTAGGGTCCTTTACAACCCAAATCATTCTGTGACTCCATGATATGGCTGCCCAGCTCTGCCCTGGAGTTAGCAGCCATCCCCATCACCTGCTACCCCAAAACCAGGGCCACAGGGTTTCCTCTTGCCAGGATGCGTGGGTGTCAGCCTCAGCAGGGCTCCCCCTTGTTCCAAGTGTGTCAGCACCATGACACCCCCAGGGTTTTGTCCCAGGTGGTGCCTCTGGGGACTCCACCAGGAAGTGACACTTTCCATTTTGCATCACACCCGTCTGACAAAGTGTCTGGGAGAAGGTTGCTGGTGCCCCTGTGGGGTGCAGAGCAAGAGATCAAAGGAGGGATGGAAGAGAGGGTCACATACGCTGATCTGCGCTTTCCCCCCACACCAGGTAATGGCGCCGTGGTCCCTGTCCCTGGCACCCCAGCTCTCTCAGCAGATTCCCTGCCCTCCTGCAGACCCTCGGCCTCCCAGACCTGTTCCCCTCACTTTCTGTGTGTCCTCTCCCAAACAGCTCCTCTCCAGCCTCCTTACAGACTGCCTGCTCTCAGGTTGGGGGGCAGGAGAGGCTCAAGGGCAGGGGATGCCCACTGTACCCCAATGCCACAGCACCCACAGGCAGTCCCTGCTCTGCTCTCCCTCTAGTATGCGAAGTGCTGTCTGCAGGCAAACAACTTTTAGGAGAGTCAGGCTGTGGCAAATGGGCTCTCCCCCACTTTTCCTGGGCTCCCCTGCTGCCTCCTGACATCCTGCTTGGGATTCCCAGACCTTTCCTGGCCAGAAGTTACCCACTGCTCCCACCAAGCCCCCCTGGGTCTAGGTTAAATTAAATCCCTTTCTCAGGTCCTCAGCAGCCGGTGCGCCTGCCCTGGTGCTGGGCAGCCCTCAGCCTGGGTCTCCTCTCCCTGATGCTTCTACTGGCACAAATCATCCTCGTCAGCTTGAGCTTCCACTGTGAGTACCTGCCTGCCTGTGCCTGGATCTCTGGGGCTGGGTCCTGTAGTTAGGGCTGGCACCACAGGGCTTTGTACCAACAGAGAGAGCTGCAGCTTCCCCAAGGAGCTGGGCCCTCCTGCTTGGGGCTGAGTGCTATGAGGGTTCTGGGGCAAGCAAGAAAATTGGTGAGGCAAGACGTTGCCTACATGGCTGGGAAAAACAGTTGGTGGGACAGCGTGTGCTTGGGGAAGGCCATCGCATGGCATTGAAAAGAAAGCAGGAAGGAGAGCAGTGACACTGAAACCGAAAGGCAGCAGCACTTTCCCCGAAAGCCTGTGTTGTGTTGGGCTCCCAAGCACAGCAAAACCCGCAAAGGCCTTGCCTGGCTTGGCGTACCCAAAGCAGGAGAGGCCCTCACCCACAGCCATGGGGCTGTCCCGTGGGGGAGGACACTGGGTGCTGCTGGGAGCAGGAGCCCAGAGTTGCTGGGACACCCCTGTGCTCCTCTTTTGTAGATTTAGTACAACAGCATGTCCGCTGCACCCCTGATCTCTGGAGCACGGAGGAGAGCCCCAGCTTTGGGCAACAGACACTGCGAGGTAAGAGAGCCTGGTGAGCTGCTGGACAAGGTTTGGAGGGGGCCTGACTGCTCCTTTCAAACAGCAGGATCTGTCCATGCTCCAGGACATTCTCCCCACCTGCCCAAGGGGCACGCTGGGCGGGTGGGTACCCAGTGACTGCCCACTGTCACTCTCCTGCCCCTCGGGCTGGGGGCTGGTGGCAGCTCCTGCCAGTTGCCCAGCCCCAGCTGCTGTGTTTCTGGTGTGCAGCGCAATGCCAGTTTTGCCCAGTCGGCTGGCTCTGGGATGCAGGGCAGTGCTACTACTTCTCATCTGCCAAAAAGGCCTGGGAGAAAAGCAGAGAGGACTGCTGCTCCAGAGGGGGACATCTGGTCACCATCCAAGACAACACTACCCTGGTAAGTGCACCCAGCCTGCCCTTTCCAGCTCCCTGCAAGCATCAGGCTGTGCTGGTGACCACCTCAAGGTCCCTCAGCAGCCACCCACCCATCAGCAGCACTGCTTCAGCTCCCTGGCTCTGGCCCCTGTGCCCAAATCCTAGCTAAGCCTTCAGGCATCCAGGCAGGGAGCGGGCAATGCTGTGTCGTCACTGATAGTGGGTGGGGCTGGGTGTCCCCCCAGGGAGCTCATGTGGATCCTCTCCTGTGCTAGGCTTTCCTGATGCGCACAGCCAACATGGAGGTCTTCCATGTGGGGCTGAAGAAGGATGGCTATGCGTCTGACTGGAAGTGGCTGGATGGCACCACGTTGAAGGGGTAAGGCTGTCAGCTTGTCCCCAGCCAGGGCTGCTGAGGGTCCAGCAGCAGGGCTCAGGGAGGTGACAGGGGGACACTGGCATGGAGGGATGTGCTCCATATTTTGGCCACCTCTTGTCTCCCCAGGGCTGCACTGGGGCATTTTAGAGAAGAGAAGATAGGGAAGAGAGTCCTGGCCCTAGTGCCCATACTCTGCCTGGGTGAGGGACTGGAGGGGTCCCCCAAAAGCAGGTTCTCAGATTTTGGTTGGTGCAGTTGGCACTGAGCCCTGCCAGGAGGGACCTGGGCGTCCCATGTGCCTGATGGGGCTGGGAACATCAGAACATGTTGGAATTGGGACATAATTGGGAAGAGGCAGTGGACTGTGCTCCATGGGGAGGGTGAGCTTTGCCCCGGAACATCCCTGTGCCATCTCTGGTCCCTGGCTGGAGGAGTTGCTGATGGGACAACCCCAGTTCTTCCTTCCCATCCTATCTCAGTGCACTTTCTCCCCGCAGGATCTTCCCAATCCATGGCTACACTAGGCCTTACCAGGCCTGTGGCAGAGTGTCAGGTTTGGGGCTGTCGAGTGGTCTGTGCTCAGAACCTCTTGGATGGGTCTGCAAGCAGAGTGCAGCCACCCTGCAGTGGCTCCAGTCCTCACCTCCTGCCTTTGTCTGGGGAAACACCACCTACAACTGTGTGAGGCCCTGATGGCTGTGGGAACCTCCAGCCTGTCCCACGACCATATTCCCTGCTGAATCCAGTTCATGGGCATTCGCAGGCACTGCTGCCTCCTGGCTCAGACCTCTTTACCTCCCTGTAACTGCATTTTGCCAATAAACTCTGCCAATAACTGTGTCTGGCTTTGGGGAATGACAGTGGTGTGATGGAGGTGCATCCTCCAGCTCACTGACTCAGTTGCATCAATGAAAAGTGGGAAATAGCATCTGCTGCACTGTTCCAGGAGCCAGCATTCAGCCAGCAGCAATCCAAGCATCCTCATGGCCTGGTGGCAGCGTGAGGCAGCTCCTGTGCAGGCTTGAGCAGGTCCCCTGGAAGCTCTGGGCTTTCTGATTGTGGTGGCTGCCTTGTGTTCCTGCTTCCTGGGACACGCAGCTGAGAGGGGACCCTTTGCTTCCCCATCCCATGGAGGACTTGGAATGGGCAGCAGCTTATCTGCTGGTCCTGCCCAGTCTGAGGAGGTTCCAGCAAGTACCTTCACTTTGCTTTGATCCTGGATGATGTCTGAGAGCCTGAAAGGCCTGCTAGGGCTTGAGTTGAAGGTATTTGATTCCAGAGGCTGCTATGGTTTCAATACAGACCTCCTGAGTTCTCCCAACAACCTGGAGCTCTGGCACGAACATCCCTGGGATTCTCCCTGGCATATTCAGAGGAGCAAGCCCCCACAAGTCAATGCATCCTGTGTGCCGAGCAGGGACTGGGAGGGAAGAGAGGATGCATGGGGCAGTGTAGCCCTGCTGTGGCCAGTACACATGGGCTTGGGCTCCTCACAACTTGGGGACACAGATGCAGAGCATGCAGCCCAGAGTGGAGTTGATTCAACCCCCACACCCCAAAGCCAGAGCATCCTCAGAAACAAAACCACTTCTTGCAAATAAAGCAACTGCTTCTGCTTTTCTGCATATGAAGAAGTGTCTCCATCCCGCATAGTCTTAGCCACAGTCTGCTATCTGACCACAGTGGAGTAGAACAGAACTGGGTTCCTGGACTGCTACTGCCCAGCTGCCTGCATGGCCCAGCGTGTGGTCTATGCTGATCTGAAGTTTGATGAGGCCCCTGCTCACTGCCCCTACCTACCCTGAGGTTCCTGAGCACCAGGAGAGTGCTGAGCTCGGGGCAGGTGTCTCTCCTCTGGACTTGCTCCAACAGGTACTGGGGACCCCAGAGGTGGATACAGTGCTCCACATGGGGTCTCAGTGGAGCAGAGCAGAGGGGCAGAATCCCCTCCCTCACATGCTACCCACCCTGCTTTGGATGCAGCTCAGGACAGGTTTGGCTTTCTGGGCTGTGAGTGCACACGGCTGGGTCATGTCCAGCCTCTCACCCAGCAGCACCCTCAAGTCCTTCTCAGCAGGGCTGCTCTTGATCTGTTCACTCCACAGCCTGTGTTGGTATCGAGGGCTGCCCTGACCCAAGTGCAGCACCTTGCACTTGATCTTGTTAAACCTCATGATGTTCCCATGGGCCCACTCCTTAAGCTGGTCCAGGTCCCTCTGGATGGCATCAGGTGCCTCAGAAATGTCCACCACAGCTCTCAGCTGGGTGTCACCTGCAGGATTGCTGAGGGTGCACTCGATCCCCCTGTTCATGTCATTGATGAAAGCATTAAGTAGCATTGGTACCAATATGGATCCCCAAGGGATACCACTGGTCACCAGTGTCCACATCAGGACGCAGAGCCATTGACCACTATCTTCTGGATGCAACTGTTCAGCCAGTTTCTTATCCACTAAACAGTCCACCCATTGAATTCATTTCTTTCCAGTTTAGATGGGGACTGTGTCAAAGGCTTTGCATAAGTCGAGATAGAAGACATCTGAAGCCCTTCCCTTGTTCACCCCACCCCCTCCCCGCCTGGGTCCTGGACAGGGCTGTCTTATCACCCTGCTTGGCAGCTCAGGTTCCACCATGGTCTTAGGGACCTTCCCCCCACGGTGCCAGGGTCCCCTTTTTCCAGTGATCCCAAGTCTCCTCGGTACTTCCCTCTCTCTTCCACTGTCTTAAGGCTCAACCCCATTTCCTCAGGGCATCTCCCATTTGCCTTCCATGTTCTTGGGTATCTTCACTGAACCTCCATTTCCTCCCATGGTCTCAGGGTTCCTGCATTCACCCCCATGGTCTCAGTGCTCTTCATTGCACCCTTTTTTCTCCCATGGTTTCAGGGTTTCCTTATTCAACTTCCATGTTCTCAAGGCTCCCCAGAGGTTTCCCATCTCCCATATGGCCTCAGGACTTCCCAGCAGTTTCTCATGCTAATGACACCACTGCCTGCATTCTTCCCAGGCAAGACCCAGCCCAAAGCCCTTGGCAGGTGATGGAGGCAGAAAAAAGGGTGGGATCAAAGCTGTTAATGCCAAGAGAAAGGATGGGCTGTAAATCCACAGGAGTCCCCAAAATGTACGGGTTGAGGGACACCAATGTGTCATCCCCCAGCTCCAAGAAAATGCAAATGGCAGATCCTGCACAGCTCTCCCCTGGCAGCTTTGGGGGAGCACAGAAGGTGGGAGATGGGCTTTGCACTGGAAACCTGAGTCACTGCAGAGTGTGCTGGCCAGGGCACACAGGAACACACAGAGGCACAGTGCAAGGTGGTGTAATAGGTGTATACATGAGTGTGAGAGCGCGGAATAAGGTCTCTTTTCCAGCCTTTAAAATACAGACCCTCTTTCCCAGTGCTTTGTAACACAGTTGAGGCAATGTGTGCACAGGGGACAGAGCCTCGGGGTGCACCTCCAGCTCCTGTCCCCAAGTCCAGAGATGGAGTAGAGTGTCAGCAGTCACACCTTGGCCAGGAGAGGAGGTTGGGTCTCAGATATGCTGCTCAGCTTTGGGGATTTCTCACAGATCCAATGAAAGTGACTCCAGCATGGCACAAACTTCATGTCTTTTCCATTTAGTATTGCCATGCAGAATGTTCTCCTAGGAAAGAGAGCGTATCTCAGAGCAGCAGTGATAACATCCTTGCTATGGACACCATTTCCCATAGGTCTCAGTGCCACTGGGGCAGGCAGTGTGCCTGGCACTGGGACTAGTCTGAAGGAAGGGTTACATTCTTCCTCCAAGTTTTCTGCTCTGCCACTTGGAAATCTGGCTGTAAATTCCACAGCTGAGCTCTGCCTTGACCCCTTTCCCTTGGGGGACCACCACTTACTTTGCTGGGGGATGTAACAGGGTCAAAACAGCACCTTTCTGGCATGGCAAAAGGGCAGGTGCTTGTGTGCAGCACTCTTGTACTTACGAAGTTTGACTTCTGTCCTGCCATTTAGAAGCCCCCTTTGTGTCATAAAAAGTGCTTGATCCAATCCAGTACCATTCACCAGACTCCTGCACAAAATGCTGGGGGAAGAGAAGCTGTCAACCACCTGCTTTGTGACCAGCACTTTCCTGGCGCCCAGGAGCCCCAGGGTCAGCTGTGCTCCTCCTCCCAGACTGCTGGGATGGAAACCTGGGGCTCATGGTGCTGCCCCAGCACCTCCACAGATACTACTGCTTCTGCCCCCCAGGACTCTGCCCAGTCCCACCCTCCTAGGGTACCACAGTCCCCCTGCTCTGTACCGGCACTGTCAGTTGTAACCAGTCATCTGGGATCAGCAGTTGAGCGGATTTCTGTTTGCAGTCATTTATGCTGTTCTGCCAGCTCATCTTCTGCACAGAGATGAAGAGACACTTGCTCCTGTAGAGCACCCAGCCTGAGGGGCAGCAGTCTGGGGGCAGGGCACAGGTCAGACACTTGTCCTCCCACGGGTGCTCGGGGGGCTCAGCCCAGCCGAGATCAAACCCCACATCTGCCCAACGGCAACACTGCCTGTGCCCCAACCCCACCACAACTCTACCTGTATTCACACAGGCGTACAGGCTGCTCACAGTGCTCTCGCTGTTGTTGAGCTTCCCCTGCACCTCCTGCATCTCCTTCTCTGTCTTGACCAGGACCCCCCTGACGTGCTCCAGCTCGGTGTTCCGGCTCTCCAGCTCCAGTTGGCTGATGTTGCCCTCGCGCCACGCTCGCTGCAGCTCCGCTCTGGCCCATGCCAGCTCCAGCTGTGCCTGCTCCAGGCTCTGCTCCCGAGCACTCAGCTCCTGTGACAGGCGGCCCTGCTCGGCCTCGTGGTCGCGGGAGGTTTCCTGCAGGTTGCGGGTGACCTGCCAGTCTGGGGACAGGGCAGTGAGCTGAGACACGGGCATGGGGCAGCCCAGGCAAGGGACTTGCAAAGGAGAGTGGGATAGGAGTGGCTGGCTGTGGGTAGAGAATGTCCTGGGGGTGTCAGTGAGAAGGGAAAGGAAGCCCCAGTGGTGGCAGATGGAGGGGAGACAATGGGAGGCAGTAGGAGGCAATGGGAGACAGGGGGAAGGCAAGGGGAGACAATGAGAAGTTTAGTGGGAGGTAGTGAAAGGGATTGGAAAGGCAATAGGAAGTGGTGGAAAGGCAATGGGAAGGCAGTGGGAGAGAGTGGGAGGCAGTGGGAGGCAATAAGAAGGCAAGGAGAGTGAGACAGTGCAAATGCAGCAGGAAGCAGTGGGAATGCAATGGGAGGCAGTGGGAAGGCAGTCAGAAGGCAGTGAGAAGACAACGGGAGGCAATGGGAAGCAATAACAGGGAGTGGGAGGCAGTGGAGGGGAGTGGGAGGCTGTGGGAGGCTGTGGCAGGCAATGGGAGGTAGTGGGAAGACAGTGGGAGGCAATGGGAAGCAGTGGGAGGGCATGGGAGGCAGTGGCAGGGATTTGGAGGCAGTGGTAAGGCAGGGGCAAGACAATGGGAGGCAGTGGGAAGACAGTGGGAGGCAATGGGAGGGAGTGGGAGGGAGTGGGAAGGTAGTGGGAGGCAGCTCACATAGCCATGCCAAAGGCAGCAACCAGCCCTGGACCCCCAGCCTCAGACACCCCTCATCCCTGACAGCTCGTCCCTAGCCCAGCCCAACACCTGCTCCCAGTGTCCCCCTCCCAGCTGGCCCCCACCCCATGGCTGTCACCCCGACTCACAGCAAGCCCCCAGGGCCACGATGGTCACCAGCAGCAGCAGGAGCAGGACCAGGCTGGCTGGCAGCAGCGCTTTGGGGATGTGCCATCGCCGGGGAGAGTGCTCTGCAAAAGACGAGCACCCACGGGCATCATCCCATGGCCCACCCGCCATCAGCTGGCACCCACCCCACGTCGGGGCATCCCCGCAGCAGTGGCTGTGTCCGGGTTCCCACCTGGGCTGGGCACTGCCGTCACTGGCCCTGGCAGCACGTTCTCATAGGGGCTGTCGTCCTCATCGGGGACCGTGGATGGGGACCCCTCAGCAAACTTCAGGTCAGCATAGACCACGTTCTGGGCCATGCCCAGGCTTCCCCGAAAGCTCTGAGGGCACTGCTCTGCTGCAGAGAAAAAGTGCAGCTGGTTTCTGCGGAAGCAGAAGTGTGTGGAGGTGTGGCAGACGGGAAAGTACAGCCACGACACTGGCGCCCTGCCATTGGCCCAGCACCACCATCCTTTTTCATTCCACCCCCCGAAACTGCTCAGGGTCCCCTGGGATAGCAGTGGGGGGGGCAGCGCAGCTCAGAGCTGGGGCACTGGGCAGAGCCTATGGAGAATTGATTTAGTTCCTTTAGGGCAGGGGAGAGCAGGGCTGGCTTAGGGAACAGGTGGCTTTGGTGCTGACCCCATCCAGGATGGAGTTTCCCTCTTCTCTGTGCTTTGCTCCATAATCTGAGCATCGCTGCTGTGTGGAAATGTTTGCCCTAATGCCTAAAAGGGATTTCCACGTTGCAGCATGAGCTTTCACTTCTCCTCTCATCATGGCCACATGCTCCCACTCTGCCAGCAATGACACCGTGGAAAATCATGTCCCAAACCTCGAAGTGCCATGACAAATGGTCTCATTGCTCTTCCCTTGTACACAGCCTGGTGCTCCCAAGCAGTAGCAGGAATATTGGGCAGTCACCCAATACATCCCACTGACCTTTCCCCAGCATGTCCTCCCCGGGCCCGAGCACCTGCATGCCCAGGAGGATATGCTTCATTTTCTTCCAGGAGTCTGAGTGGAGGCTGTCCAACCCTTAGCTTTCCAAACTTCTTTCCTGTCCCCTTTGAAGCTGGCTGTGATTTTTGCCTTTCTCCACTAATGAAGGACTTCCCTTGCTCTTGCAGAGATGATGGGCAGTGGCCTTGTAATGCTGTGCTCCAATACTTTGTACCTCAAGTCCTGTTCCAAACTGGCTGCATCCAGATATGCCCAGCTCGCCCCCAACTCAGTGATCCTTTGGAAACCTGTCTTTGGATGAAGTTCAGTAGAGATCTCTGAGATGCTGAGAGGCTAGAGGGACCAAGAAGGAGGTGCTGTGAGTGCTGGGATTGTTGTCTTAGGCAGGGAAAGCGAAGTGGATGTCATTGCTCTATGCAACTGTCTGGGAGAGGTTTGGAGCAATGCCAAAGCTTGCTTCTTCTAGGAGGGGAATGGGGAGAGGATGAGAGGCAGTGGCACATGCTGCATAATGGGGAAATATCCATTCTCAGAGGCTGGGAGAGGAAATCTGTATCTGTGAAGACCTCCAGCTCTCCACAGAGCTTTCCACAGGGTGATGTGCTCCTGTGTTGAGGATTGCCCTGCTCCACCCCTGCTATCCCCTGGACCACAGATTTGGGTCCATCCTTGCTCTGCCACGGCCGTGACCTCAGGCTGTGCTACTCTGGCTCTGCCGTGTGCCCAGGGGGACCAAGTGCACTTTTGGAGCGTGGGAGGGGAGGGGCTGGTATTTCTGGGACCAATGAGAGGGTGCTGATGCCTGTGGCTGTGCCTCACTGGTCCCATCTGCTACAACGCAGAGCAAACTTCTGCTTCTGCGGATGCTGGCTGCAGGTCAGCTTTGCACCTCTGAGACACGGCGCAATCACCAGGAGCAGGACCATCCCAGAAAGGCACCCCAAGGGCAGAGTGGGAGCCCGAAGAGCTCAGGGCTTGCCCAGCACTTGCCCACATGGCCCAGAGCATGGTTTATGCTGACCTGAGGTTTGCCAAAGTGATGGGGGGACGGAGCATGGCCAACCAGGCACTGGAGGCAGGTGAGAGCTCACAGGCCCTGCCACTCTGTCCCTGACATGCCCAACGCCATGGACTCAACTCCCTGCATTCCTCCCACAGCCCTTGGCATGGATGAGGCAGAGAGCCCCCATGAGAACACGCAGCCGGTGGTGGCAGGGCAGGATGGGGATGGGGCCCAGCCCGGCACAGGTGAGTACCCAGCTGGAATCCAGGGCACCCAGGGCGTGGGTAGTTGGTGGTGTTTTGGGGTGCTCCCACTCCCATTCTTTAAGAGAGGAGGCACCCACACTGTGCCACCTGTGCCGTCATGCCACCACACCACTGCCTCCAGGCAGTAGGCCCGGGGACTGCCAGGGGTTTTCCAGCTCTCCAGGTGATGTCTGTTGTGTCTTGCAGGCCACTGGTCCTGGCGGTGGTGCATCCCAGTGGGGCTGCTGGCAACCTGCCTGCTGCTGGTGGCCACTGTGGCCCTGGGGGCTTGCTGTGAGTCAGGGGTCTGGGCACATTTGGGCTTGGGGGTGGCTGGGGCAAGGAGGCAGCTGGGCTGGGGTGGGTGCCATGGTTGAGCATGGAGTGAAGAGCGGCATGCCTATGCGCACTGCTCATGGCTGAGTCCCTCTTCCCTGTCTGCCGCAAGCTGTCCTGTATCCGCCTCACATCATGAGCACCCCCACTGTCTCCCATCACCTGCCTTCCCATCCTTGCTGTCTGTTTCTGCTCCTTTTCCTTCCCACCCTGGCACTGCCCAGCCTCATATTCCTGCACCCTGCCTGCCCCTGCCCTGCTGTATCTGCTCCTACACCCCATCTTGCCCCTGCCCTGCTCTCCCCCCCAGGTCCTGCCCAGCCCTTAACCATACGCTTTGCTGCTGTGTCCTTCCTTCTCATCCTTTCCCATTCAACACAGACAACACCCTGCCTTGCCCTGCCCATCCTACCTGCGCTAAACAAGGTCGGTCACACGCCCAGGCTGCCCCATGCCTGTGTCTCAGACCACCCCTTCTGCCCCCAGACTGGCAGGTCACCCGCAGCCTGCAGGAAACCTCCCGCGACCACGAGGCCGAGCAGGGCCGCCTGTCACAGGAGCTGAGCGCTCGGGAGCAGAGCCTGGAGCAGGCACAGCTGGAGCTGGCATGGGCCAGAGCGGAGCTGCAGCGAGCGTGGCGCGAGGGCAACATCAGCCAGCGGGAGCTGGAGAGCCGGAACACTGAGCTGGGGTACGTCAAGGGGGTCCTGGTGAAGACACAGAAGGAGATGCAGGAGGTGCAGGGGAAGCTCAACAACAGCGAGAACACCGTGGCTCTGCTGCGCTCCTGCACAGCTATAGGTAAGGCAATGATGGAGCAGGGATAGGGTGCCCCAGGTGACTGGCATCCCTCAGCAGGGGTAGTGCCAAGGCACGAGCACTGGTGTCTTTGGTCATGTGGTGGGGGCAGGGTGGTCTGAGGCTGAAGCTATGCCTGGAGCAGAGGCTGAGCCTGTGATGTCTGCTGGGAAGGTGTGAGGCTGTTCCTGGTCCCCCGCCCAGGGCATCTGTGGCTAAGCAAGCATCTGAGCTGTGCCTCTGCCCACAGACTGCTGCCCTTCTGGCTGGCTGCTGTACAGGGGCAAGTGCCTCTTCATATCCTCGGAGAAGAAGACATGGGAGGACAGCAGAGATGAGTGTGAGAAAACATATTCTCAGCTCCTGATCACCAAATCCTGGACTCGCTGGACTGTGCCGGTAGGGTGCTGGGGAGCTGAGGGCAGGAGCTGGTATATCCAGACCTGGGCTCACCAGATGGGTTAGCACTGTTCTGGGGGTCCCTGTCCTGCCAAAATGTTGGAGGGTGCAAGGCTGATCTCTGGATCACGTGGCTGGTGATTGACATGGGACAAAAAGGCTCTGTTCCCTTGGATGCTGCCCAAGCTGGAGCAGGGCACCAGGGCCGCTCAGCTGTCCTGCCCCAAGAACCTCCATCCCAGGGTCTCCCTGGGGAGACGATCATTCCCTGAAAACACTGCAGTACGTAGGTACCATGGAAAAAATGTGAAAAGGCCCTTTTTCTTCTTCTCCAGACCTTCCTGAAGAATGCTGATATCCCATATTGGATAGGACTGCAGAAGAGCAGTTTCCCCTGGTATGACTATGGCTGGCTGGAGGAAGAGGACCCAGAGGGCAAGGGGCCCTCTGATGCCTGGTTCTGGGTAGATGGCTCCCTTTATGAAAGGTACCTGGCAGCACAGCCTCTTGCCAAAACTCCCCAAACCCAGCACGACTTCAGGAACCATTTTAAATCCCACCAGTACCCACTTCTGGGTACAGGCACTGGGAAAAAAAGAGCATCAGAGTAGCAGGGGCTGAGGGAAGGTGGGTGCAATGGTGTGATGAGATGCTTAGAGGACATGCAGATGCAAAGCCAAGACTTGGGGGAGTACATGCAGGACATAGGAAGCAGGAGGTAGCAAAAGTGGACAAAAGAAATCACAAGTTTTATTTGGGGTCTAGACAAGGGGTTTGAGCACCATCTCTATCCCCCACGTGCCTCCTTGATTTCTCCCGGGGGGATAATCAAGCCTTCCCGCCCACAGAGTAGTGGGCTCCTCCCCTCCACGTGCACCCACTTCTCAGCTCGTTGATACTTCCTCTTGCAGTGTCTGAGAGCAGTGGGGAGGAACAGATCCGTCTGACCAGGTGCTGGGTACCCAGCCCCTGCTCACTGCCTACCCCTTCACCTTCAACCCTCACCCCCCAAATGGGGGACTGCACCCAGTGTAGACCCACAGCCCAGGGCAGCTCCTCCAGCTGTCCATATGCCCTCAGGGAGGACTGGGCTCTCCCAGCCACAAGGAGGAAAAAATGCCCAGCAGTGAGGCCGAGTCAAGCAGGAGGGAAGCTTAGAGGAGTCACAAGCAGTGCAAACCCTTTGTAGAGGCGTTTCTCAGCCTGCCTGAGGAAGGGCAGGGACCTGTCAGCTGAGCCTTCAGCCTGTAAAATCAGTAGGCGAGGACTGGGGGATCCGCCATCTGACTGTAGCATCCAACCCCTCCTGTGCAAGCTACAAGAGGCAATCGTCACAGCAGGGCTTGTGGGTAGAAGGTGTCAGCCCCTGATGTGTTGCTTCCTCATCCAGGCCATGGCAGTCAAAGTCAAATGGGTCCTGTGCCATAATAAGCCGTGGAAACATCAAACCTGCCCAGTGCACCGGCCCGAAGGACCTGCACCTCTGGATCTGTGAGAAGGAGGCGGGGCCAAGCTCCCCTTTCATGGCATGATGGCTTCTGGCCCCAGAACTGCTGTGGTGAGTGTGCCCACGGCAGGTTCTGCCGAGCCTGGGGTGCATGAGGCCCGTGGGGTATGTATGGAGGAAAGCAGGGACCCTGTGTTCACTGCCTGGGGCACGCTGGCTCCCTCCCTTGGAGCCTGCCTCCATCCCCTTGCTGCCATGGGAGCCCCTGGTCTGTGGTAGTTCAAGAGGACTCCCTGAAGCTGTGACTCAGCAAAGGGGCAAGATGAGAGAAAACCCTTTGCAAGATGCCTTTCCCGCCCAGTTGCACATCTTGAAGGCTGGGTGGTATCTCACTCTCACCTTCACTCTCACCCTCACCCTCCTCTGCCTTCACTTGCAGCACCTGCACCCTGCACTGCCTCTGCTCCAGCCTTGCTACATTCCTGCCCGGGATATCCCATCCATTCAAGCAAACTACTTCCCCCTCACAGACCGCTGACCCCCCAGCTGCACAGGTCCTTCTCAGGGATGCCCAGTGATGCTTGGGCACCATACAGGCAGCAGTGGCTGTTTGTGCTTCGGCAGAGTAGCGTGGGCCCCACAGCCCGCACGGGACACGCTGGGTCTTCCTGGCAACGGGGTCTGGTGGGCGATGGGGAGCCTGGACCGGAACACAAGTGGAGCAAGCCCTGATACTCAACGCTGCAGCCACGCCGCATCCCCAGGGCGGAGCGAGGTGCGCTGCTGGCATGCAAGGAGCGGGAGCCAGGGGCGCCACAGCCCCAACCCCAGCGAGTCCCCTCCCCGCGACACGCATTTGCTACCCGACCCCGTCGGAGGGGCAGCTTGGCTACAGCTTTCAGGCAACCCCGCACTCAAAAGGCTCGGCAAAGCCTCGGCGCCCAAGGAGCGAAGCTGAGCATGCACTGGTCCGGCGTCTGCGCCGGCGGTTGGGGATTTTTTTAGCGCTATTTAGAAAGTAGAGCAGTGACCTTTAGGGTTGCACGGTGTGATTGTGTGTTTCAAAAGCAACTCAGGCACTTGCTGATGCTTTGCGAGACAACTCATCAGGACTTTAAATAGTTACTACGCACGTGCACATGTGAAGATTAAGCAAAGCAGCCCTGATGTAATGCTGCAGCCAGGTGAGAGCAGAGGAAGTCCTGTTCAATCAGGCGAAAATGCTCTTTACAATGGGGCCATATATAGTTGATTAATTGCTATGTTAATTAGCTGGCTTGAAGAGCAAAAGGGTGTCAAAGACAGGCTTTCTGGTAGTGGCACTTGTCACTCCTTAGTCTTGTCCGCTGGCTGAACCCATTTTGTAGCAATAAAGAAACACAGTTCGTCTGGTCTTTGCTTCCTTGTCTACCACTGAAAACATGGACTCAAGGGAATGAACTCAAAGAACCTAAATAATAAATGGGAATTTGACCAAAGCCATTTCAACCGCGACAGGCACCTAAGGCGCGCTGAGATCTTGGGCTAAGCCAGGCTGGCTTGCAGTCCCTGAAGAGTTTCCAAGAAGCTCCCTAGAGCAACCATTTAGGACTGGGATCTCTTCCACATCTGATGTGCATCCAAGTGACACAAGCAGCAGCCTGAGTTGTTGGGACAATCAACCTTTATTGAACACTTTAAATAAGCGGGGTATATATTACTAGCAATTATTAATAATAATAAAAAACACAAGAGTTCTGCATTCACCAGTGCATTATGCAGGAGGGAGGAAAGCCGGCTCCCACCCTTGCCGGGGGCCTGGCAGCCTGGCCGTGCTGCCCACTGGCCCCATCCCCATGATGCCAGGATGGCACCTGGCCCCTCTGCCAGCACCCTGCCCCCAAACCTGTGTGGCAGGGGGTTGCGAGGCATTGTGCTGGCTCAGCACCCAGCCCTCAGCATTGGGCCGGCAGGGACAACCCCAGTGTTGGCAATCCTCCCCATGCACTGCCCATGGGCATTGCCCCTCTCCCGGCCCCCTGCCCACCTCTCCCCATGTCAGGGACTGGCTGTGCTCCCCATGCTTGTGGACACACATGGGTACACCCACCAGCCCCACAGAATCCCCAAATACACACATAACACACGCTGACCTCTCTACCCCAACCCAGTCCTGCTCACCCGCTGGGGTGCAGGGGACTCCCAGTTCTCCTGGAAGAGCAGGCTCATTGTACATCCCTCTGCAAGAGCAGGCGGAGGAGTGAGCCCCTGGGGAAAGGGGGTCCTGGATCCAGGGCTTGAGCCCTGGGGCCCCGCGGGGGACCAGCCCTGCCGCTTGGGACAGTGCTTGGGTCAGGGGTGTTATTGCACTTCAGTCCCCAGAAGAGACCCAGCCCACCCCTAGGGCTTCCTGCAGAGCCCCAAGGCTGATCCTGGTGTGATGGGTGCCCAAGCACCTGGGCAGCTCTGTGGCAGCCACAGCACATGGCACAGTGGCCACTGCTGGCCACCAAGCATTGGGCAAGGACAGACAGTGGGGACGTGCCAGGCTTCTGCACTGCCCAGTGCTGTGGCTGCAGAGGGGTGTTAAGGGCAGCTGGATGCAGCCCCACTCCTCAGGATCCCCATCACTATGACTGTGCCTCTGGCAGCTTCAGCCTGGGCTCAGCTAGCACTGGCCCCGGGGCTTTCTGGTGTTGGCCCCTGTCGTGGCAGAGGAGGCTCTTGGCCTCACAGTTGAGGTTCTGGTAGCAGGGCGGGCTAGGAGCTGGCTGGTGGCAGATGGAGGCAAAGTTAAAGCTGAAGGGACTCACGCAGCAGCCAGGGCAGGGCAGCACCTCATCCTGCTCTGCCACAGCACCAGAGCTGTGCCCAGGCAGCATGGCCGAGCGCTCCGTTCGCTCCAGCGCCACCCCATAGGTGCTCAGCTTAGAGAAGCTGTGCTCCAGCCCGCTCCCCCAAGCCAGAGGTTTGCTGACCATCATGTGGTTGTTGTTGATGAGGAGCCCGCTGGGGGATTGCGTCTCCGGTTGCCAGGACTGGGTGCCCAAGGACGCCGTGTGGATGAAGTTGCTGTTGGGAGGCAGCAGGGTGGGCTGCGGCAGCTCAGGGTTGTCGAGGCCACAGTCCATCTGCTCATTCGCCCTGGAGCTGGGGCTGGAGGCTCGTCCCCAAACTGGGGGAGGAAGGAGGGCAGAGGGCTGGGGGTTGTCAGTGGGAAGGGGGGACACCACATCCAGCGCCAGGCCCCCATGGTGGGGCAGCTCAGGAGAGGCAGGCAGAGACTGGCACTTGCGGGGGCTGGTGGTGGGGGCTGAGAAGTCACACTGCACCTCCACGGCGGGCTCAGGTGTCACGGGCGTGCTGAGCTCGAGTGGGGCGGGGGGCGGCAGGTCAAAGGTGAGCGAGATGACCGACTTGCTCGGCGTATCGAAGAGCTTGATCTTCCCCCCCTTCAGGTCCTCTCGCTGGGAGAAGGGGTTGACACGGGGGGACATCTCCTTGGACCTGGCCCCACTATTAGGCTCCAGTGGCTGCGGCTGGGCAGGTGATTTGGGGGAGAACACGTCGGACTGGCTGCGGGACAGGCGCTGGTCCGGCTGCAGGTGCTGTGTCCCCAGCTCACGCAGGGGCGACTGCTTGGCATGGCTGGCTGACGTCCTGGCCACTGCTGGGCATGGGCACAGGAATGTGTCATTAGCTGCCAGCAGCTGCCCATGTAGGGCACTACCAGGTGCTGGGCACACAACCACCCAGGGGTGGGTGCACCCTGAGGAAGGAACAAGGATCAGTTCCATCCTGCAGACCTCACGCACCCCTGTCTCCTTCCCCTACAGGTGATGGGGACACCTCACACGCCCCCATTTTTGCACCCAGCCATGGCCTGTCCCCGGGGCGCCCACGTACCGAGTGTGGCTGAGGTCTCAGGTGTAGGCAGGCTCTCCCCGATGCCGAAGAAGGTGGCCCCGGCACCCTCAGTGCCAAGCTGGTGCTTCAGGATGCTCTCCAGGCACTGTGTGATTTCCAGGAATGAGGGGCGGGAGGTGGGCTCCATCTGTGAACAGGAGAGGTTCCCCATCAGGTTTATGCCCTGTCCAACCACTGCAGGGAGTCCTGCACAGCAAAGGCAGCTCCCTGCTCTCCCCATGAGCAGGCAAGGCAGCCTGTCCTGCCCAGCTGCCCTGGTGGGGAAGGGCCATGGAGGTGGGAATCTCACACTGCAGCAGTGAAAAGCCAGCTGGAGGAAGGCCGCCGGGCAGTCGATTTCCACCATAGTGCGGAAAGTGGTGACGTCCAGACCAAAATCCTGCACCAGGGAAAGGAGGAAGAGTGAAGTTTGGTCCCCTGGGGCACCCCATAGCCCAGGGGACCTGGAACAGCCTGGCTCCCCTCCCTGTGTTGACTGTGTGCCACCCAGGGCTGTGGACCTGGAAGCACCCCAGGCGGGGCACAGCAAGGGAACACTCTGGTGCCACCCCACACTGGGGTAAGGCTGGGGGATGCTGGGACACAGATGCCTCCTGCTCTCTGCCTGAATCCAACTGTCCCCTTCTCCCACCCAGGCTGACTATGGGCTCCAGGACAGGTTACCAGCAGAGACTATCCCTCCACAGGCAGCAATTGGGACAGAGCAGCCCTGCCCTCATATGTTGGGGCAGCTCCTGCATATAGGGCTCCGCCAAACATAGGAGAATGGCCCCTCTTGTTTGGTGAAGTGATCCCAGCCCCAGTGCTGCTGCCCACCACTCCCTCTACCTGTTCCCATCCCAGAGAGTCACCTCAGTGCGGGGCAGGTAGTCAGGGTCAGCTGGTACACGAGCGATGGTCTCACACAGGATGATGCCGTACGCAAACACATCAGCCTGCAGAGAGTTGGGAGTCACGGGAGTGCCCCACAGCCCCGATGTGCCCACCATTCTGCAAAGCCACAGCCCTCCTCTTCCCTGCAGAGCCACACCAGGGGCTCTGCCACCTCACCACCAGAGGGACACCCAGTTCCTTCCCTCTAGGTGTGCAAATGTCCCCAGGGCTGCAAACCACTGGCAGCACAAGCCTGGGTAAAGCCCCATGCAGGGCAGCCACAGAGCCTCACCTTCTCATTGTAGA